TTGAACAGCCCATCAAACCAGGATATCTAAATAGACTGAATGTGTTTATCATAGCTGTCACATTGAACAGCCCATCAAACCAGGATATCTAAATATCAGCAAACCCAACCATTTAATAAGACAAGATCTGCACCCACCTTGTTAGAACACTCTGAAGATAAACGATCCATTTCTTCTTGCATTACGTGTAGTTTGGCTTTCAAGAAACGTATTGTGGCCTCTATAAATGATGATACAACATGGATATAGCTTTAGAATACAATTTATATCATCCACCATCCACCATGATCCACCAGCTGACTTATGGAATTTCAAATATTCAAGTTCTATCAATACCCTGAAACAGCCTATGGGCTGATCAAATAACCTGGACATAATAATAAATAATAATAATAATCTTTTATTTGTTGGAGCAGGCTGATTATTCTGGCAGCTTTCGCTGATGTGAGCCGGCTTTCACTCACACTCACTACCACTACATTTACTATTTTATGCACACAACGCTCGACATGTTGATTTTTTCAGAGGGAGGAAAACCGGAGAACCTGGAGAATAATTCTCGTGGCAAGGGAGAGAACAAAACATCAAACAAACTCAATTCACATGTGACGACCGCAGGGCTTGAACCAGCGACCAGACCCATTGTAGCAGTGAAAGATGATGCATTAGCAGAGTACGCCACCCATAATACCCTCACTCACGGCTGAACCATCAAATTGGAATTCAGTGTGTTAGGTTTCTTCTGAGGGAAAAGGCTGGAAAACCTGGAAAAAATTCCCTCACATCAAGGGAGAGACCTAACAAACTCTACTGAAATGTGATGCTGAGTCTGGAAATTGAACCCCCAGAGGTGAGAGGTGAGTGAACTACCGTCACACCACCTTTGTTCCCCTAAGTTGATTCCCTGAGAATGAACTAGTGAATGTCATCAAATGGGCTTGAATAAAATATAAGGAATAAGTTGAACTTTTGATGTTATTACCTGAACCCATGTCTTCAGCTCCAGTTGGTAATATACCATCATCGGCATAAGATGTAGTAGTGATAAAGCTCTCATCTTTTGCCTCATCTTCAAGACTGCTGATCTTTGTAGCCAGATTAATCCTCTCAGCCAGGATATCATCTACAACTACATTGTTTGCTGAAGGTTTTTGTGCACTTTTGGATCTCGGAGCACCAGATTTTGGTCTGTTATCTACCCCAGTTTTTGATTTTGGCCTACATTTTGGAAGAGAAAATTAATTGAATGCAGATCTATTTACATCTGTTCTTAATGAGGTTTTGGTGGACACCAATTAAAGCACACTGTTTTATTGCATGTGTTAGGGAACACAGAGTTTTCTATGGCACATGCCACAAGGGAGCATCATGAAAATACTTTAACCATCAAAACCTACTTTTTGGTGATGTCACAATGATGATGACGACGATGATGAACATGATGATGATAATAATAAATGCTACAGAATGTTGTTTAAAATTGCCTTACCTCTTTTTATTCTTAGATACTGGTCTGCTCTGATTAGGTGTGGTTGAACCCTATATCAAGTTAGTGATTCAATAACATTCAGTTTGGTACGATTATAGAATATTATATTTCCTACTGTTGCCCTATAAAGGTTAATAATTATATGATTTGTGCCTACTGTATTTAAAGCAGCTCAATTTTGATGTAACTAATAGAGCAATAGAAAACCACAGTATAGATATGTTGCCAATGCGGCAGCCTTATGGATTAACTGATTACAGTAACCTGGTACAATGTGACAGTGTTGTGGTGTAGAATATGGATTAATTGATTACAGTAACATGGTACAATGGCATGGTTAACAGCATGTCAGTGCATGATATGCTGGAAATAGTATTTTGAAATCTGCTTTTAGTTAAATATAATGTACTTATTGACTGACTGGGAGGGCCGTAAGGGAAATATTTGGCTCGATGTGACGCCGTACAGACCGAGCACAGTGAGGTCCACGCAAATGACCGAGGGCCAAATAATTTCCTGTACAGCCCTAAAGGAAAGAAAGAAAATACGGTTGCAGGTTTCAAGCAGGGCCTTATGGATTCGTGTGGCCCTGCTCAAGCCATTTTCCAAGGCTTTTTTAAGAGCGCCCCCTGGCAGATACGGGTCATATGATAATATTTAATATTTTTTATCAAAGTGGTAGGTAATATGGACCAAAATTCATAGAGTAGATACATACTGGCTTTGACATAGGGATTGAAGCACCAATACTCAAAGATAAAAAATCCCTATTACAAAACAAAAAAAAAAAAAAAAAAAAAAAAAAAAAAAAAAAAAAAAAAAAAAAAAAAAAAAAAAAAAAAAGACAATGTTATTTTGTATAGAAAAAATTAAGATGTCAACATTAAAATCAATGTTAAATTTCAACACTGGCCAAACTATCAACATTTCATGGCTGTGCCTTGCACTAGATTTTTTGACTTAAAGTTCAATTTTTGAAATCAGATCTAATACGATACRAAGAACAAATATTCTTCTATTGATATTTCACCAAGGTTATAAACATAATATTATTATGTCCAAAGTTTTATTTGCTTTTCCAAGCAGCAGCTATTACCCTAACAGCTTGAGCCAATTTTGTTCAAAATTTGTTCAGTTTTGTTCAAAACATTGTGGGCAATGCTTGACACTAGCTTTTTTAGACACTAGGCAATGGATAAATCCGGTAGCCCAACAGAGTAATCTACTAGCCCAGATAATTAGCAATCCAAAATACCCACTCACCTATGGATGAGTGAGTTCTAATTTTCACTAGCCAGGAGCAAAGATTAGATTATTGGATTAGCCTTAGTGTCAAGCACAAGTGGGTCCTCATTATCTTAACATTGTCTGTATTACAGTCCATTTCATATATCTGCRACCAAACCAACTCCATATGTTTGGTGGTTACAGCCAATCAAATTTACCATGGGATGAGTGCTGATCAAAAGCAATACATATTTTCCCATGGGAAAATGGCTGTCAAGTTGCTGGTGCTTTTTATCCCTTGTGATCAGAAAGCACCCAGCCCATGGTAAATTTGATTGGCGGTGGCCAAAATGCCAAACATCTGGAAGATTGCAGAAACATGAAATAGTCTGTAAGGCCAACTGTGAGCCAAAAATGTAACAGTACATACAAATCTAATGAATATCTTACTCTAAATCTGCTGAGCCTGAGAGATCTGTAATGGTAGCAGGTCTAGTCAACAACTTATCTTGATCTTGCTATACAATATAATAAATACAGAGTGTTTAGTACATTTTGGGAAAGGGAATTAGTTGAAAACATTTTTTCAAAAATATCATAGCCTAAACAATAGAGTTTTGAACCCCTTCTCCCTTCCCTACGAAGAAGGGAAATCAAAATGTGGGATGATTTACCATAACTTCTTCAGCTTCTTTAATCAGACTGGCTGTTTTTTGTTCGATTTCTGCATTCAAACGCCTGGAAAAAAGTGTATTTTAGCTTCAATATTCCAGTACATTTAACCGGCGACATCGTTAGGTCGTTCTCTGATAGATATACTGTATTGCTTACATATATTCTTCTTCTTTGCTCAATAACTGTTGGGTGACATTCTGTTTTTTCCCACTCGGTGGTCTGTTGTTTGACCCACTTCTTCGTCCTCCATCTCCGCTAAAACCACTAGTAGGCCGTGAAGACTTCGAAGAGAAACAAAACTATTAGATGAAATTAAGGTTGAGGGGATTTCTGATCGAGAAAGTGGTTAAAAAAGACAATAAATATATAAAGGTTCAGTAATCATACTTACCGCCATATTGGTTTTTGAACCTCCTAACAACAAACCGCTGGACAGTACAGATTATAAAGCAAAAAATACTCCCTTAGGGAGGGGGGGCAGGGTATTGTAATACAATACATAAATACTGAATGCACGCCAGTAAAAAGTACATAGAGTAAAAAGAAAAGTAATGCGCACGTAGGGGACGCTGGAAAATCTTGCAATGTTGTTGTTATTTTCCCATAGCAATATTACGATTTTCTCCTATGATCATTAGCCGTGCGCACAATGAGTCGCTAAGTCACTCACTGGGAGATGCGAAAAGGGCCTCGGCGAAGAGGGACTAAATAAGTCGCTTGGGTATTAGCACGGGTGGCATAATGGTGAGAGCGCTCGCCTTCCACGCTTCGACCCCATGCAGGTTGAGTGATCCTCGTGAGTTCTGTCACTCGTTTTTCGCTTCCAGAGTGTGGTATGTGAGTAGAGTTGTTTGTTGGTTCTCTCCTGTGTAGTATGTGAGTAGAGTTGTTTGTTGGTTCTCTCCTGTGTAGTATGTGAGTAGAGTTGTTTGTTGGTTCTCTCCTGTGCTTCAAGTGTTTCTTCTCCGGGTTCTCCGTTTTTTTCTCCCTCCACTGAAAAATCAACTCCTAAATTCTAATTCGATCTATCGATTGCCTTATCAAATGGGCGTGTGCGAATCCTGTTAGGCTTTCCGTGTATGGCTGCCGCCTTATATAACTGCAATTAGCTAGATTCCGCCCGCGGCGGACTTATTTACACTAAATTACCCAAGGTTCAAAATAGCCTCAAGCACGACCCCCTTTTGCGGTTTACCACCCCCCACCCCTCCTTCCCCCCCAGCCAGGATTTGAATTTCTTGGATGCCAATCAGGTTTAAACTTTAAGTCGCATTCCTTTTTTCCCCCTAGGCCTTTGTTTATTTCTTCCTTCCCTCCTTCCTTTCTTTCTTTTTTCCCACGTGAACCTTTTCCCTTAGTAAATTTAGATAAAATCAGTTATATGCCCAGCTGAGGTAGAAGACAAGTTTATTATCATATAATAACTAGACTGAATATTACAGAAAAACTAAATATTGAATTATAACATGTACTATCTACCAAAACACAAAACACCACTAAAGCATCTCAGTACAAGACCATAAAAAATAAAAAATAAATAAAAAAAGGAAAAAGAAAAAGAAAAAAAGAAAAACGAAGAAAACCTACTCCTAAACCTTCAATGGAAACAACTGAGTGAACAGAATATTATTTATAGGTGGATCAAAGTCCTATTCCTTAGCCCTTAGCAAATATTATGTTAAATCCAATGAACAAACGGGTATTAAGTAGTAGAATCATATTGATATCTACTCTCCACTATAAGTGTCTCGAGTATACTAATGTCTCCTCTACCTTTGGAAAAATTTAAAAGAGGGCCTGTCCCTTCTCGATTCCCTCTCAGTGTGTGCGAGAAACTAGGAGGGGGGAGATGGGGGCGTTTGGACGCAAGCTAATTTGGTTTTTATTTTCTATCCTTTTCCTATTGTATCTCTGTCAGTCAATCATTAATCTCTCTATAATCTTGGACCAAAATTGTTATTAATTGCCCTCTTCATTACAGACTTTTTCTTCAGCCCACCTCCCCCTGAACAATGTTGTTTTGTTGACTCATTGGTCACGTAGCCCGTTAAGATGCAACATTGGAGGGGGGGGGGGGGGGGGACACAATGTAGATCTTTTTAGCTAGTAGCCTTCTGCAAATGGATCACTAGAAAATTTAGAAATTAGGGTTTTGATTTGTTCCAGTTGTGCATAGTCGGCTGGTGTTAACGACTCTTTGTTCTCGGCGTACTTGTTTGCTCCTGCCATCAACAAATCTTCGATAATCTCAATCTGTGCCGAGCTGGTGCTAGTCCTCTTGCTATCAGGGTCTTCTTTTGTGAACGATGCGATCACATGAAGAGGCGTGCTACCTTTTTGGTTCTTGGCATTAGCATCACCGCCAGCATCTATCAAAACCCTTGTCATTTCCACACTTGGTAGCTTAATTACACTACTAAGTTCTTTATCCTTCCGAAAGGTGTCTTTAGAGACGGCTAAATGAAGTAAAGTGTTCCTACCTTGGCACAGTTCTCGTTCAAAATGAATGAACCTCCTAATGTGTTTCATGCATCTTCTCTGTTCTTTCCTCGACAACTCTAGCTCCAACATGACAGCAAGGAAAATAAGAGTGATGAGCTGGGTTTGTTCCAACATCTTTTGTATTTCTTCCTTTGTCGGGGAGTTATTTTTCCTGTCTCTGCTCTCAGCTCTCTTTGAGTTGCCCTTGTTGTTTTCCATCTCTCCGCTTATCTTCTCGACATCGCTCAAAAGCATGGCGAACAATTCCTCTATGTGGACAAACGTCACCTGTTGTTCTTGTTTGATCATTTGCGCCATAAGTTTTCCGATACGAAAAAGCTGGTCAAAAATGTTGATGGAATTTCTTTGGTCAAGCCTAGCAGCGTACTTCCATAGCTCTAAAGCATCCTCGAATTTTCCCTTATCTGCATAACAAGCTCCCCTGTATCGGATGTGCACTGGAACTGATACATTTTTTGTCCTAAGGAGTCTTTCACGGACGATTAATCCTTCCATGTGAATAGCATATGGGTTGTCCTGTATTTTGGCAAGTTCCTCTGGTGTTTGGCATTCGAAGCGATAACCATAGGCTCTGACAGGTGGACGCACGAACTTATGGAGTACATCACCGTCGGGATCTTTGTACCTGTGCTGCATCGCTGTCCATAACAGTTTGTATGCTTTATTTATGTTGCATTTTTCTGGGTGATTCGCATAGGTAGCGCCGAGCAGCTCCAAAGCTTCGATTATCTCGTATCTTGTAATTTGTGGGCGAAGGACAAAGAACTTCATCACCTCATCCTGGCAACCATTGCAGGCTAGTTTCAGTGGGGATAATCCTTCGTTGTTCAACAGAACTTGTGCATCCAGTTTGATTAAGATTTTGACTACCTGTAGATGACCTCGTTCGGCGGCGTAGTGAAGGGCTGTATTTCCTGAAGAATAAATCAGAATACCATTACGTACAATTCATTAAGCGCTGGGAGGGAGGTTGGGATATTACCGTTACAAAAAACACGCAAAAAAGGGATGGGCTCCCAGAATATTATTAACGCACACTGTCGGACGGCTGTCGGCCTGAGATACATGCTAATATAATTTTCACGAATATTTTGATATTTCTCGGAATATTATGCTTGTATTTAAAAATAAATTTAAAAAGATCGAAGTGTCGTACAAAACTTCATGGGATTTGTAGAAAAAAATACTTATACCATCAGTGAGTGTTATTTCCACAAATGTTGGGGATAAGAAACAGCCAATGAGAAGGAGAAGCCTAAGCTAAATCGAATCAAGCCTATATAGCCTACAATAACAAAGATAATATGACTAATTGGTAAAAATCAAGGGAGTGAAAGACCAACACACACAACAAAATCCGTATTGAGGAACATTTTAGAGTTCAAAAATACCTTTTTTGTCTTTGAAGTTCAAATGAGCGCCTCTGTTGATCAATACAGTCACGATGTCTCTGTGACCATTGTAAGCTGCCGCCATCAAGCAAGAACTACCTTGGCTGTTCACGATATTCACATCTGCACCGTAATTTAACAAACACAATACGACATCTTTCCATCCTCTAAAGCAGGCAGTTCGTAGGGGGGATGAATTGGAGCTTGTAAGATGATTCGGATCGGCACCGTTTAGAACCAGAAGTTTGACGATGTCTAAATGATTAGAGAGAGCAGCAGCCCACAGCGCCGTAACACCTTCTGCTCTTGTCCCATCTTCAAAATCAATAGAACAAGTTTGCTCTAAGTCCACTAAATCGTATTTAATAATGAGCTCGACAACTTGAATTAAGTTGTTAAGCGCTGCTACGACGAGAGGGGTTCCTATTCGCTTATTAACTCGCACCAGTGTCTCACTTAATATCGCCTTGCGTCTATCTTGTGTTAGCTTTGGATCTTGGATGATCTTTTGTAACAGTTGAAGCCCATCTTTGCTAATGGCTTCGCGGTTTGATTCAGGTTCACGTATGTTTGAAGGATTCGAATTGTTTTCTTGGGGAGAATCTCTCATCATCCACTTGTGTAGCTACGAAAAACGTTTTGCAGATGTGGGGATACAGGCAGAATGGACACCTTCCTTCGTCATGTACGCGGTTAGTGTTCAAGTGCTGTTTTGTATATATTGTTATGTCTTACGACCTCTTGACCTCTCTCTCTCTCTCTCTCTGTCACTAATAACGATTATCGGTTTAGATGAAATTGCCAAGTTTTAAAACAATCAAAATGAGGCTGATTACCACATAGACTAACTTGATACGTGAAATTCTCGCGACACTTAAACGAGTTTAAGACGCGCGTTTCAGRAATCGGCCTAAAAACTCGTCCTTACCAGAATTTCTAACTCGTCCTTACAGAGACTGGAAAAAATAAGTGCCGCAAAAATATAATATGAGACCTTCAATTATGAGAAAATCTAGAATTTAGGTCCCGTCCAAGCGTATCCGGATACAGTACACGGGTAGTGTACGTATTTTGAGGGCATTTTTTTCATTTGCTGTTCCGTCCGGCACGCGTATCCTGTTACTACGCCGGTTGAAAAAAACGTTTCCAAGAGTGGAAAATCATAAAAACGCCGTTTTCAAAGGATTGAAACCGAGGTTTTCGTAAACGCCGACGTCACTCAATGACACTATAACTTTTTAAAAGACCTTTTTAAAGGTCTTTTTAAAATGCATTAGAGGTCGGGATTAAAGGTGACTTTGATTTTCAAATCGTCGGATTGACTCCAGTGACGTACTGAGTCACAAAATATAGCCATTCAATGGAGAACTCGTGGATATTACAGTGTATATGAGTTATAACTATTGTGTAGAAATTATTATATGAGTATATATTTTCTGATTGAATGATTGGTTTTAGAATTTTTTACCCTTTTGTTCATCTATCTTGAAAATGGTCCATTGCAGATTCTTTTAAATTATCTCAAATTCATTATAATGATGTATTGATATTATACAGTTGTAAGTKTGCTGGCTTTTAGGTAATAATAACGGGGCATTGAGAAACGCTTTGATTGATTGTCTTTATTCTTCGTTTGCACGTTACGTCATCGCAGCCATGTTGGTACCATTTAACAAAGGATTTCTCATTAGCATCCATTGTTAATTGTACCACAATGGCCGCCACGCTTTTGTGTGGAACCAAACCAATTCAGGGACGGATCCAGAACTTTTTTAAGGGAGGAGTGCTGCGCACAAAGTTAACCCAGGGAGGGGTGCACCCCTTAGAATCAAAAGGAAAAAACAGTATTGGTTATCTTCGAAGTAGGGGCACAAAGTGGAACCAGGGAGGGTTGCGCACCCCTCCCCTGGATCCGCCCATGCAATTCAGAGCGAATTTTGGAGCGAGTTTCGCTTCGCAAAACTAGTGCGTCAATTTAACATTTTTTTTTTTAGTTTTTGGCTTTTTTCTCCCCATCCTCAGGTACGATTTTTTTGAAATTTATCATCTAGTACTAATTCAGCCTGTGTATAAATTTGGACGGAAAGTCTTGGACAGAAAAAAAGTTTGATTAGGACACCGGTTAAAAATTCGATCCAAAAATTGAAGCATATAAAATTAATTACCTATTTCCAAGTATTGCGGATGAGCCTTACGAAAAATCAGCATCAAAAAACTCATCGAATAATTTTTTCACTAATTGAAGTTGTAAAACTCAAATATGAGAGTTTTGCTAAAAATGACATTTTCGCCGTTTTTTTCAAGATTTCCTCCAAACTTCCTACATCAATAGATCAGATTTATCTAGGTGGTAGTGAAATTTCTACAGCTCGTCCTGTCCAAATTTAGGAGAAAACGTTTTTTTAATTGAGGAGTACCTAAACAGCTCACCTCATCGATCGACAACAACGCTCTCGGTCGTTCAAAACGGTTACGTTAGGGAGAACGTTTGCATAACGACATCTTCAATGTCATTGTGTTTATGCAAATATTCGGCCGAACCCGTCCCAAAGGCGTTGTCGACCGGTATTGAATTATTTCTAGCGGGGTGAGCTCTTTAGGTAACCTCACTTTAAAAACTGTTAAATATTTATTTGACGGGTTTGGTGACTTCACTCTAAGTAATAGAGTCGGATGACTGAGGTATACCTAGCTGTGTATGTTATCAAGACCTGAAGTAGAATGGAGAATATGGACACAGATATTGTTTAGATCAGGATGATTATTTTGATCTTAGGCTACACACGTCCAAAAGACTCGACAAATTACTGTCATTTACTTTAATGTTTATATTTGTAAATTGATACAAGAACCATGGTTTAAGTTTTATTCACTGCTCCTAGTGCAAGTAACAAGGCGAGATTCTATGGATTTGTTTAGAAGCGTTCTTTGATGAAATCCCTTGAGCTTGTAGACGCATTTACAACTTGTCCAGGAATTTATCCAAGGAAGGAATGGCTTCACTAAGACCCTTTCTTTTTCTGGTGTCTGTAACTACCACACCAGGCTTGGTACCTGCATCGGTAGGATCACCTGGTAGGATTGCCCAATGGTTAAACACGCACTGAGGGAAGGCCTGCCCACCAGTATTGGAACGAAGGTCAGCCGTGAATCCTACACAAAACAATAATTACCATTATTCTAAATACTGAAAAAATAAAACGATATTTGCATCGCCTTGAATCAGCTTGAATAAGGCTATCAAACAGTATCCAAGTGCTGCATTTTCTTATGTTCGGCGCCAAAATATTATAGCAAAAAAGAGTATTTATTAACCTATGAGTTATATACACTTGTTTCAGTTAAGTTAGTCACCTGAAAGACTACGAAGCTGAGACCGACAAGGTTATGGATAGATACATTTTACATGCTTCAACCGCTTGATAACTGTTGATGGACTTGAGATCTTCTACCAGTTATAAATTCACCTCCTCTGAGCATCAAAAGTGTCAAAAGCTTTACTTGTTGGATATAAAACATTTCCCCATGATTCTCAACGATCTCAGCTTTCTAGGTTTTTGGTGACTAACTTTATTGAAAAAAGTATATTTGGGGTGTCATTGTAATGAGAACTCGAGGTAACATTAGCCTGTGTTCAGCTGGTATAATTTCCTCTAATTAACGTTATTTTGAGGAAATTATACCGGCTGAACGCAGGGCTAGGTAACATACGAGCTAGTCTTTTAAACTTTTTGCATTATCAATATTTGGTTTTAGAGTTGTGGTGAGTCAAGTTCTGTCACGCAATTCCGTCACACATTTCAAAAGCATTAGAAATAGGGAAATTCGATTGAAATAATAGGTTTTAATATTTTAGACCATAGACCTTTCCCGAATTCTCTTGGATGACCACGAAACAATGGTTTGAAGTCAAGAGTGAACTTGATTCTTTTATTCATCAAGTTCAACCTTGACTTGAAACCATTGTTTCGTGACAAGTTAAGCGAATTCGGGAAAGGTCTATTGGGAACTTTATTTTGACGATTTTTTGTTATTAAAAATTTGAAGCATCATCCTTCATGATTTGGCCACCATGTTTGTGCAGATAGAACATACATTTCAACTAAATTATAAGCACAATCTATCACTCGTATCGTCGTATCTAAAACTCCTTTTAGCTAGAACTTTGCTTTTTCGGCCTATGGAAGTTTTGTTCTATAAAAGCCCTGGGAAAATGTTCGATGAGTTAAACACTTACCAAATGACTCATTGACTGGAAGATGCGCTTTGACCAAAAACATTGGAGTACCAGCAACCTGTCCTTCCTCTATGACATGTCCACGTCGCCTGTTTAGCACACCATAAATGCCACCAACTGCAGTTTCTGGACACTAAAAACATTTACATCTGGCATCAATATCATAATTTTTTAAAATAGAAAATGGCATACCTTTATCTGACAATAGCATTTTCCCTCACCTTTTTAATGAACTATATAGTTACACTCATATATAGGTTTAGCTTCACTCCACACAGGCTTATGGAAGTAATTTTTTAATTTTAGTTAAAGCTCATGGAATTTGAAAATTCCAATGCCTGTTCAATTTGTACATTGTTTATATTCTGGCTGCTATTTGACGTTGTAAATTAGAAAAACTCCAGAACCCACAGAATGATCAAACAAGACATTTACAACAATTTCAAAATTCCCCAACCTTGTCAAGCGTTACCCACCTGAATTTCACAAAGATATATAGGTTCAAGTATGCGGGGTTGAGCAGTCAACATGCAGGCAAGGAGTACCCGTCTAGCTGTTGGGATGATCTGTCCACCTCCACGATGGATGGCATCAGTATGCAAAGTAACATCTCTAATGTTGAACCTCACACCACGTACATTCTCTTCACACAGTGGTCCTTCCTTTGTAGCCCACTCAAAACCTGCTACTACGCTGTCCTTGATCTCATTCAAGTATTGGACTCCTTTTGTGGTATCAACTAAAAGGTTTGGACCATTAGTTTCAGGTCCAAAAGCCCAAATCTTTCTTGCTTCATTAACATCAAACTGGTACTTATCAGCCAGATATCTGCCACGTGTTTTAGGGTCATCTCTTGGGTTGACCTTTCCTTCATCAATTTCTTCAGGCAGTCCATCTGGTAATGGCCCGCCTGTCAGGAAAAGACGGTTGTGTTTGTTTGGTGACTTGGACAGACATACTTGGTTGGATTCTTCACTAACAGTCTCACGATACGAGACTACAGGATCAGATTTCTGCGGAAAAATACACATGAAAATAAGCTAGAAACAAAAAGGCAGCACTAGTTATCAAGATAGAACCGAAAACATTTAAGACTATTCATTCTCATTGTTTTTTAATCTTAAAAACAATGCTATCTTTACTTTTGAAACCATTATACTGTATAATGCAAGAAAACTTTAAGTGTCATCTAARAATAAAGTTCAATAAAAGCTTCTATACATGATATAAACAGTCTCTCATTTGTTTTCAATAAAACACGTGGAATTGTTGTTGCAACAATATAGGATTTTCGGAGACGTCAAAGTATTTCCCGGACATTGTTGAAAAACCTAAATGCACAGTTTCACACCAACTAATTTGTTAAAACGTCTGGTGTGGATAGGGTAAAAGTTTTCAAAGGCATATTGCTATTTACTGCCACGGAAATACCATGAAATGTGTGACTGATGGACATAAGATTCTCAACCACACCCAGACAGAAGTGCCCTAAGGCTGGAAATGCACCAAATGGGGAAAAAGATGATGATGATGACCTTGAAGGAGTCAATAACTCCTTGTTTTATTACAAACCTTTAGAGGGATGCCAGCATGATCTTCTTCTAGGTCCTTTAAGCAAATTTCTAAATGCAGCTCTCCTGCTCCAGCAACAATGTGCTCTCCACTCTCGGCAATTGTACACTAATTCATCAAACAAAACAAAATGTAAGAAATCTATTTCATGAAATTTATTGTTGCACTAGAAAAAGCCTTCACCAATAGTTTTTGGGTGGTTTTACCAAACATTATTGTGAAAATGTGCAATGGCAACATTGATTTCTAATATAWTTTAACAGTTAATAACAGCTAGATGAGAGATTTTGTAAATATCATGGAGTATTTTGGCGAGCCAAGATACAAGTGAYGAGTAAAAATGCAAAGCCGTATCAGTTGCTTGGCCTACTGATAAGTTGTTTATCATTTAATTCTGCAAAGAAATGTTCAAAATTCCGCTAAACTATATCGTACCAGATCGCGAGCAGATGAGCAGTGCCGATACGGTCTCACATCAGGAATGGTCTTTCCCTGTATCAYGCACGTTCTTTGCAGAATTAAATAATAATGCAGGTTATTTCTTTGCCAATCATATTTCAAGACCTTTCCCTTACTACTAAAAATACTTCTGTTAACTTATTACCTGCACCATAGGATCAGACTTTGAGAGCCTCTTCAGGCCTTCCACAAGTTTTGGTAAGTCAGAGGGATTTTTTGGCTCAACAGCCACACGTACAACAGGTGAGACTGAAAACTTCATAACCTGATAAATAAATMAAAATCAGAAAAGATCACTCAAATGATTTATCTTTGAGCATTATTATTGATTTACACAATTTTATTTTTCAGGACAATTCTCAAACTATAGATGCTGTACTTTGCATATCATTTTGTTAAGGTGTTAAGATTACAAGTTTGAACAYAACATACAGTACATACATCAAGGAATGTGTAAAAAAATCAAACCATTCTTGACCAAGTAATACAAGATTTAATAACCCCAAATACCCTGCAGTCTTTGAAAACATATTCAAATTGTATTGAGTAAAAACGTTTTGATACAAAAAGATAGCCCTTTGTACTACTTTGTGCTTAAATAATGGTAGAACATCAATGCAGTTTTTGTTGAACTGATGTTAAACCAAAGCCTGCACACACACCTTCAAATTGTGAGCCTGATCATAGGTTGTAATTGTTCCTGTCTTGACCAAAAACTGATCTACTCCAACAAGGCCTACAATATTACCACAGGGGACATCAGGAATAGGCTCAATGTATCTTCCCATCATCAGAATTGTCCTTTACATTTAAAAGGAGAGAAAAAAAGAACCATCAAATTACCAATGGTTTCAATGTAATTTACATTAAAAAAAAACTAATATTGTACGACTTTCCCCACGAGAAAAAAATGCCTTTTAAGTGTTCAACTGCGCTGCCTGTAAGTGGCATTCGCAAACTCATGTAGTGATAGACAACCTTGCAGTCTGCAGTCTTGATTGAGTAGCTGAATCAAAATAGATTTTGGTAATCCTTAGAAATCTTGGTTTACTGCCATTACTGTAATTAACTTGCAACTATGATGAGCCTTGAATCACAACAGGTAATAGGTAGACACCAATTTGCAACATGTGATACGCATATCAACCTTTAATCAATCACTTTGGTAATGCGGTGACATTGATTGGCAGCTGTCACATGTATAATAGATCAGACAAAACRTGGGACCCCTGTATCAAATGCCTGCCAAATTTCTTTACTTGAGTAATGCCATAAGACTCCTGCAGCTTTGTACTATTACACATTTCCCCCATTTTGTGGAGGGTAAAAAGCTATTTTAGATTTGGTTTTGAAGATTACTGGGTTGCTTGTCGCAGCCAGTGTCTTCTTACCTTTGGATTGGCTTGTTGTACAAATCTTCTTTCTTGCCAGGAATATATTTTGGCCCCATAATGCGAACTTTTTGTCCAGTTGAAACAGTTCCAGAGAAGACACGACCAAAAGCATAGAATCGACCCTTATCAGTTGTTGGTACCATCTTTGATACATACAGACAGAGCTCAGCCTGAAAAAGATAAATGAACAATTTTAGATATCATAGATTTGTTTTCGCCCTGGGACCTACAAGGGATTGGCTGAAGTAAAATAAATTGGATTATAAAATGGAACTTGATGATTGCTACAATAACCCAATAATGAAATAACCCAATAATGATGAAGGTGGCACTTGAGGCTAAATTGGTGTCATTTTACTTTACTTCAAAACACTAAAAAGGCCTTCCACCTCATGGAAACTATCCCACTTTCTACAGTTAAGCCTGGTTTACACAAGCCTCACAATAAATTACACTTGAAGGGTTTTTTCCCATCTTTTGTAATAATCTTTTTATTTAAATTTAAGTGTCACTAGAGGAGCCACAAACTTTAACAGTACATCTGTTTTCAAAATTACGACCTGTGTATTTGGCACTTGAAAGGTATTTCTTGTGTTTTTGCTGCCGTCAATCAAACTTTGGCCAATTTGTTTTMATTCAAAAAGCCCAAAATGATCTTAAAGTTCCAACTGTTTGAATATTCTCTACAGTCTACAGTTTTTCGATTGGTTACTCCCCAAAGACCCAAGGCATTATGGGGATGCGAAAGTAGAGGATTACAGAAAGAAAGACAATGAAAAAAAATGAGACGAGTTGTGAGCAGTGCCGTTTGCGTAATTTTGAAAATAGGCRTAAAAGAATATGATATTATGCTACATGCCACACGTCAAGTCAAAACATGAGAAGGATTTTACGTTGGAAAAGAAAAACATCTATGTGTTATCACCTAGTCAGCGATCAGCTTTTTAAACTACATAACGAATACACTATGGATCCCTTGGGAATCAGACTGATTCTAGTACTCTCTTACCTTAGAGTCACAAGTTTTGATGCCCAAAGCAATGGGGTCATCCTTTGGTCCTTCATACAGCAACTCCATTCTGTACTTTTGAGCAATTACAGGTGATGGGAGATGCATGGTGATCATCTGAAGCATAGTCTCTCCAGCAGGAAGCCAGCGCCTCATCATAGCCTTCATCAAAGGTTTGCCTTCCATTTCCTATTTATACAACACAAAATCATCTTAATACCATTAGCGGACTGCCTACTGGGGTCAACACAAATAAATTTGTATTAAGTTGATGTTGAACGGAAAAACATTTATTGTTACTTCTTTCTTGTGCTTGTTATCTCGACAGGATGATATATTGTAGTGCGAGATGAAAAATTCATGGACAAGATTTTACTTAAAATCACAATATACTATAATTTGGAAATTTTATCAAGAAAGCTTGAAATATTACTCTTGGCCACACATGCCAATAATGACAAATAAATAGATTTATACAATTTTAGACTTTTTGGATCAGATTTTCATGTTTTTTAAAGCCAAATGATTCTGTTCAGTCAAATCTTAGTCAAATCTTACAAACATAGGTTTATAGAGTGACATGCAAAAGTATTATCATACTTCTATTTACAGGCTTTCTTATGTTAAACCAACACATTTCTACGTGAAGCTGGCTGGTCTTAACTAAATATTTAAAGCTTGAGAGAGCTTGTTTGGTAGCCTAAAGCCCAAGCATAGAAGTATGTACCATGGAAATTAAATGTGGTCACACTTGCGTGTTGCGCTGTAAAAAGCTATTGGAGAAAAACAAAAAATCTGTAGAAATTATTTAGACACCAAAAGTAGCATTTCTTACCTTCTCAGTAGAATCAAGCTTGATATTCAGCTTTTCAATTAATTTCTTGGTGTCTTCCTTTTTGAAATTCATTACAGCATCAAAAACCTAAGCAAAAAATAAAAGTTTTAAAAGTGTTGAAGGGAGAGCCCATATACTATAAGCAAATTTATGTGTTTAGAAGCTGTTTGATCAAAAACAACTGAAATACCTTGTAGATTGGATCAAGGACAAATTGATTGAAACCACGTACATATCCTTCATTTTGTTCTTTCTTCCATTTTTTTTCTTTGTTGCTGTAGAAACTATTGCCCCATAGTCGAGACATGAGCTTTTTTGGCTCAATCTTGAACTTCTTAGCATAGATTTCTGCAAACTGCTTCAAGGAGAAAGCCCAACCATGAAGTCCAGAACCAAAACCCACAGTACCTTTCTCTGGTGACACCTGTAATTATAGGTAGGAAAGGAGATTATGGATGAACAACAACCAAGTAAGTAACTAGTAAGCATTGGTGTAACAAACAAGGAAACTTTAAATGAATGCTGAGCATCATTGGAATGCTTACTCCAATTAAGGTCTTGGAGCCCAAAATATCAAATAATCATAGGCCCTGTAACATGAACACTTCAACCCTTTTATTTTGTGAACAGAACGAAATCTTACACACACAATTTCTACTGCAACTTGTATCAAGGAAAAAAAGTTTCAAGCAACACACATAAATGCTCAAGACTCAATTATTCCCAAATTAATTTTTTATTATAAGAATTTATTATTGTTATTATTATTTGGAAAAAACTAATAAAAGTACTGGATGTAATGGCAGAAAAGACTCATCAGAAAAGAGCAGACCTTGCTATTCTTTGTATTTTAGACTTAGAAGTACCAAAACATTGTGATTCTTCCTTGAAAGAACATTTGGGAGTTAGCAGTACCCAGAGGTTGATTCATAAACATAGCATGTACCTGAATGTCACCCATAGGTCCCTCCTCATCATTGTATGTAGAAATAATCACATTGACAGACTCCACAATACGGGAAAAGGTTTGATATAAATCCTCTTTTTCCAGCTGCAGTTCTAAAAGAGCTCTGTCCATTTTGTTTAAAAACAAGACTGGCTTGATTCGCTCAGCAATTGCCTGACGGAGCACTGTTTCTGTTTGGACACACACTCCTATGATGAAATTTGGTAAACTATAAGCACAGATATATTACACATGATTAAATACAGATGAACTTTAATGTGTTTTAATACTGATACACACACTTTTGATGCAAAGCACTGGCACATATTTACTTTTTCACAACAAAATTAAATTTTCTCACTTTCTGATTGGTTGAGACCCGTTGTAAATTAGGATATACCAACAAATTACATAAATAAGTTACTAATCCCTCACACAATGCACACTTGAAACCATCTTTTATTAAACTTTTTACTGGTTTATTTGCAGTAAAAAACAAATGTCCAATGTTTTTTCCGGCTATGCCAAGTGAGTACCTAACATTCTAGCCAACTGTTTACATCATGCTCAATAAGCTTTAAATACCCAGGAGTCAAAGGGTTTAACTATCATAAACAGTTTAATGCTGTTAATGAAGACAATGTATAAATAATCAAATTTTATCAATACTGACCACTGATACTGTCAACCACAACTAGAGCTCCATCTGTCACACGCAGAGCAGCTGTTACCTCAGATGAGAAATCAACATGTCCAGGAGAATCAATCAGGTTAATTAAGAAACCGCGCTCATCTTTGCTGCCCCCAGGAATGAATTCCATATCAGCCTCAGACACTTCGTAATACATGGAAATAGCTCTGAAGTGGCAAATGAAAAATTGGCATGCTTTAATAACTCTTACTGTGCTGACACTTGAACCATTAACGCTCCAAGTTTTTTTACTAAGGTTCCAACATATTTTTATGTGATTCCAGTCTCCTGTGTTGTTTGTTGTTGCTGTTAAGGTTTTATTTTATAACAGCTACTTTGTCAATGAACRATATTTTTGATTTATTTCTGTAAACTGTTGAAAGTTTACACTTCTTGCCACAGTTTTGCATACTCATTAGTTATTAGTATTACAGATTTTTATACAGTCTCAGTGTATTACAGATTTGTTTAAAGTCTCAGTGTATTACAGATTTGTATACAGTCTCAGTGTATTACAGATTTGTATACATTCTCAGTGTATTACCGATTTGTTTACAGTCTCAATGTATTACTTGAAGGCGAACTGCAGTAGGCAAAATGATGCATAGGCAAACTTCAATTGGTGAGACAATACACAGGCAAAACAATCAAATATATATTGAATGTATAGTTTTGAATGTATAGTTTGCTAAATCAGTAGGGTGCCAATACTTACGTTGATTTGATGGTAATGCATCGCTCCTGCTCATCTTTTCTGGTATCAGTAAATCTTGTTTCTCCGGCTTTAGCCCCAGCAATGATACCTGCTTTGCTAACTAGAGAGTCAGTCAAAGTAGATTTTCCATGGTCCACGTGAGCAATGACAGACATGTTACGGATGTTATGTTTTTTGTCCATGATCTCACGGATCTAAGATTATAACACAAGATTCAATAATTTATTAAGAGAAAAACAACCTCTTCCTTACCAAATCTCCATCAAAAAGCACCACACATTCGTTTATAACGGAAGGTACATTTTTATGGGTGGAGGGTGGGGAGAGCTAGTGATGCAGAAGGGGGATTAGTAAAAGTTGGAACTTTTGTGGAGTGTTACTAGTGGAGGGTCAAACCTTTTCATTTTGAGGAAAGCTGTTTCCTCATTGACTAAGGTATTAGGCCTAAATTAGAGACCTTTGTGATCACTTAGCGTGCAACCTGAATTTGTGCTGCCTTTTTTTGAGGTATTTCAAATTACAATGCTTTCATACCAAGACCAAATGACGAAGTTGGGAAAAGTAGTTACAGTTATAGAGAGGCTGTTCTCTGGAATATTTTACCAATAGATATTTTACAATAGCTTACTAATTTATCACATGCTGATTGGTTATTTTTTATCTTCAATAAGACGACAGACAGATAAGCTGACATCAATGAGCTATTTCCATTGGTTGTTTTAATCACTAAAAACTAGGAGTTTTTATCGTTTCTGTTGTTGTTATCATAAAAAAAAGCTTACATTTGTTTAATATTTCATTATAATTCAAAATGTTTACATTACTACCATAGGACTATTTAGCATTTCACTTTTTTTTTAAAAGTCAATAAGATAAGATAATTTAAACTTAAGTTTTGTATTTTGTCTCTGTAGTTTTTAGTGTTCTATCTACATAACTCTCTGGAACAGCATATGTAATGAAGTAATTATCGTGTTTAAATAAAATTTACCTACTTAAGCATAAGCATAAGAAGAACGGAACGTTTTGATCCTTCATGTATATTTTGCTATACTATGTTAATAGTCAACCCAAGGCTTTATCTTTATCTTTGTTTTTTGTATATTACTTTTGTCTTTATAACTAAAACGTAACTTCATTCCCCTGATAGATTTGTTCCTCCGAATATTTTATATTTTATTGTTTAATGATTCAGACATTTTTTTTTTTTTTGAACTGCACGCACAAGACCACACTCAAATATAATCACGTATCCAGAACTATCTAGTATAGATTTCTATACTGTAGAATAAGCATAATAATAACTTCAAACACGATTTTAAGACACAAGAATATGCTAGGTGTGAATCACGATATATTATCTGGTTGGATGAAGCTAGTTTTTTTTTTAATACTCCTTGCTCAACTTGATATACCGGCAATAAAAAAAAAGTATTTTCTTACCTGATCTATCGTGAAGTTCACCTAATAAAAAAGAAGACAAAGAAGAACAGTAAGTTCTCAACATATTTGGGTTTAAATAAATATGAACAGTACATTTATGATATAAGAGTCAGAAGAAAGCGACGTGGCAAACAAAATCTTAAAATGGCGGTTTTCCATTGATACTTCTCGTTTCATAGGGTCTTTTTTAAGGAATAAGAAAAAAGTCTTTGGCTTTTTTGCTACAAAAGGCTTAAGTCAAAGTCCATTTTTACTGGATTTACAAAGATTGTCACAGGATGGCTACTTACCATCTTGAAATTCGGATTTTTTACTCGCCCGTTCGGCGATTGAACCTTCGATGGTAGACCACAAGAAGTAAAAGGAACGAGAAGATGGAAATGTTGCACAATCAGTCGCAATAATTCGGCCTCGATTCTGTGCAGTCGAGAAAGTTCGGAAAACGATCGATACCCGTTCGTAAAATCTCCACAGGCAACCCAAGTTTAAAAAAATAAGGTCAGGGTCAATGATGAGATGAATATATAATGAGCACACGCTAACCAAATAGATTTCAAAATACTAATCAGTAATCTTACATTAGTAAAAACAGCAAAATAAATAGATTATACTGGTATACTGGGAAAAAATGAATATAAACATGAAAATAGAGCGGATGCAATTAAACCGTGAAATAAAATCAAACTAAGCCCTAACTAATGGTATCTATTTAGTGACTAATAGTCCGATTATCCAGGGGCGGATCCAGGATTTTTTCAAAGGGAGGGTTGTAGTATTGATTGAGGTGGTGGGGAGATATAGCAGACCAAAGGGTTAGGGAGACGATTATTTGCTGCAGGCGAGCATGGTTGTTTCAGGTATACACGCAGCGTATAGAAAAAAGTGAGCGAAATGTGTTCGGCACCCCTGTTTTAATAAAACTCGCGATGTTGTTGGTGTTGTCATGATAAAAATTAAAAAAAAAAAAAAAATAGTAATAATAAATCACGATGGCTCTCATAGGGGGGTTGCAACCCAAAACCCATTCCTAGATCCGCCACTGGATTAACTTGGATGACCGAGTTGAGGACTGGGTACGAGCTTGATAAGTATTTATTTGAAAACTCACCATTATTTCAATGTTTGAAGTATATTTATTAATGGAAATGATAATAGCAAACAGTACTAGCTATTTGGAATCAAAAATATGAATTTTGAAAAGGATATCGGCCAAAAACCACATTTTTAAGATAATGACCACAGGGAGCCCATAACTGGCTTTTTTCAGAAAATTCTGAAAGTCCAACTAATATGGAATCCTGAAGAGATTGAAATGGGCACCGGTCCTAATATTGATAACCATACTCTAATCTACATTTATGCAAATTTTGGTGCTTTTGTCCACTGTGTATAGATCTGACCAAAATTTTGCACTTAGCCACCTGACTAAAGTACCTAACCATTAGAAGATCGATACGTGAAATACCTAACCGTCAGGAGATCGTTACTTGAAATACCTAACCGTTAGAAGATCGATACGTGAAATACCTAACCGTCAGGAGATCGTTACTTGAAATACCTAACCGTTAGGAGATCGTTACTTGAAATACCTAACCGTTAGGAGATCGTTACTTGAAATACCTAACCGTTAGAAGATCGATACGTGAAATACCTAACCGTTAGGAGATCGTACCTTGAAATACCTAACCGTTAGGAGATCGTTACGTGAAATACCTAACCGTTAGGAGATCGATACGTGAAATACCTAACCGTTAGGAGATCGTTACGTGAAATACCTAACCGTTAGGAGATCGTTACGTGAAATACCTAACCGTTAGGAGATCGTTACATGAAATACCTAACCGTTAGGAGATCGTTACATGAAATACCTAACCGTTAGGAGATCGTTACATG